GTATCTTTTCACTATTAACCGTTTGTATGTCTTTGAAAAAGCGTTCAGATCATCTGTCCATTTTTAATTGGTTGTTTTCTTTTTATTGTATTATTAGAGTTCTTTATATAGTCTGGTTATGTCCTTTATCAGAAGTGTGATTCATAAACATTTTCTGCAGTCTAACTTTGAAGTACAAAAGTTAACTTTAATGAAGTCAGATTTGTCAATTGATTGTGCTTCTGGTATTGAATTTAAGAACTCTCTGACTAACCCAAGGTTGTGAAGATTTTCCTCTATGTTTTCTTCTGAAAGCTTTATAGTTCTAACTTCTATTTATGTCTAGATCCATCTTGAATTAATTTTTTATATATGATATGAGCTGAGTGTTCAACTTAATTTTTAAAAATACCTAGTACAGTTTTTTTTTAAAGATTTTATTTATTTATTTGACAGAGAGTAGGAGAGCACGAGGCAGGGGGAGCGGCAGAGGGAGAGGGAGAGGCAGGCTCCCCGCTGAGCAGGGAGCCTGATGTGGGGCTCGATCCCAGGACCCTGGGATCATGACCCGAGCTGAAGGCAGTCACTTAACCAACTGAGCCACGCAGGTGCCCCATAAAAACACCTAGTACATTAAAAAATTAATAGGCTTTGTTTTTTAGAGCAGTTTTAGGTTTATACAAAAGTCGAGGACAAAGTACAGAGAGTTCTATATCCCCCCACCCTCCTCCACACATACACACTTTACTGTATTATTAACATATTACATTAGTGTGATACATTTGTTGCTATTCATAAACCAATATTGATACACCTATTAGTTAGGACTGCCATTACAAAATACCACAGACTGGGTGGCTCAAACAACAGAAAGTAATTTTCTCACAGTTCTTGAGCCTGGAAGTCCAAGATCAAGGTGTTGGCAGGTTTGGTTTCTTCCCAGGTCTCTCTACTTAGCTTGTAGATAGCTGCTTCTCGCTGTCCTTACACGGTCTTTCCTGTGTGTGTGCACATCTCTCTGTGTGTCCAAATTTCCTCTTCTCATAAAGACACCTGTCAGATTGGATGAGAGCTCACTCGAGAAAGACTTCTATTTAACTTCATCACCACTTAAAGTGCCTGTCTCCAAATATAGTCACATTCCGAGGTACTGGGGGTTGGGCTTCAATGTAAGAATTTGGGGAGACACAGTTCAGTCCAGAAGCATACATTATTATTAACTAAATCCCATAGTTTATATGAGGGTTTATTCTTTGTGTTGTATATTCTATGGGTTTTGACAAATATATAATGACATATAGCTACCCTTGTAGCATCATACAGAATAGGTTGACTGCCCTAAGAATCCCTGGGCTCCACCCATTCATCCCTCCCTCCCCATGACCCCTTGACAACCACTGATATTTTCACTGCCTTCATAGTTTTGTCTTTTCCAGGCTGTCATATTATTGGTGTAATTGTAGACTTTTCAGGTTGACTTTTTTCACTAAGTAATATGTCTTAATGTTTCTCTATTGCTTTTTGTGGCTTGATAGCTTATTTCTTTTTGGCACTGAATAATATTCTGTTATCTGGATGTACTGTAGGTTATTTATCCATTCACATATTGAAGGATATCTTGGTTGCTTCCAGGTTTTAGCAATTATGAATATAGGTGCCATGAACATTTGTGTGGACCTAAGTTCTCAACTCCTTTTGATAAGTATCAAGGAGCACAACTGATGAATTATATGATATGAGTATGTTTACTTTTGTAAAAACCACCAAGCTGTCATCCAGTGTTGCTCTACCGTTTTGCATTTCCCCCAACAATGAATGAGAGTTCCTATTGCTCCACATCCTCACCAGCATTTGGTGTTGACAGTGTTCTGGAATTTGGTCACTCTATTAGGTGTGCAGTGATATCTTGTTTAATTGGCATTTATCTGATGACATATGATGTGGAGCGTCTTTTGATATGCTCATCTGTTGTACGTGTACATCTTTGATGAGGTCTCTATTAAAATCTCTGGTCTACTTTTTAATCAAGTTGTTTGTTTTCCTACAATTGATTTTTTAAAAGTTCTTTTTATATTTCAGATAACAGTCCTTTATCAGACAAATGTGTCTTTTGCAAATATTTTTTCCCAGTTCATGCCTTGCCTTTTCATTCTTTTGACATGGTCTTTTGCAGAGCAGCAAAATTTTAATTTTAATGAAATTCAGCTTGTCAGTTTTTTCTTTCATGGATCATGTCTTTGTTGTTGTATGTAAAAAATTTATCGCTAAATCCAAGGTCATCTAGATATTCTCTTGTGTTATTTTCTTTGTTTTTTTTTTTTTTAAAGATTTTATTTATTTATTTGACAGAGAGAGACACAGCGAGAGAGCGAACACAAGCAGGGGGAGTGGGAGAGGGAGAAGCAGGCTTCCCGCGGAGCAGGGAGCCAGATGCGCTCGATCCCAGGACGCTGGGATCATGACCTGAGTCAAAGGCAGACATGCCCAACGACTGAGCCACCCAGGCGCCCCTCTCTTGTGTTATATTCTAGGAGTTTTGTAGTTTTGTGTTTTATATTTATGTCTGTGATTCATTTTAAGGTAAATTTTTTGAGGGTTTAAGGTTTGTGTCTAGATTATTATTATTATTTTTTCATGTGGATATCCATTTGTCCAGTATCACTTACTGGGACTGTCCCTTCTCCATTGACTTTACTTTGCTCCTTTGTCAGAGATCAGTTGACTATATTTGTGTGGGTCTAATTTTGGGCTTTCTGTTCTGTTCCAGCTTCTTCCCTTAAAAAAAATTTTTTTTTTGATTTATCAATATCCAGTCATCCCACCACCATTTGTTGAAAAGACTGTCTTTTCCTCATTTGAAAAGGGCACCTTTGTTGAAGTTCAAAGTGTAAGAGTTTATTTCTGGACTCATTTCTGTTCCACTGATGTATGTGCCTATCCTTGCACCAGTATCCCACTGACTTGCCTGCCTTGATTTTATAAGAAACTTTGAAATTGGGTAGTGTAAAACTTCCAACTTTACTCTTCTTTTTCAGAACTGGGTTGCTTATTGTAGAGAGTTTGCATTTCATGTCAATATTAGTATCAGCTTGTTGGTGTCCACAAAAATGCCTGCTGGTGGGGCGCCTGGGTGGCTCAGTTGATTAAGTGTCTGACTCTTGATTTTAGCTCAGGTCATGATCTCAGGGTCATGAGATCAAGCCCCGTGTTGGGCTTTGTGCTGGGTGTGGAGCCTGCTTAAGATTCCTTCTCTCCCTCTCCCTCTGCCCCTTTCCCTCCCTCCCCACCCCCTGCCCTCCCTCTCACTCTCTCTTAAAAAAAGAAAATGACTGCTAGGATTTTGATAGGCATTGAACTTACAGACCAGTTTGGGAAGAATTGCCGTCTTAAAAGTATTGAGTCATCCAATCCATGAACATGGAATGTCTCCATTTATTTAGATTTTCTTTAATTGCCCTCGACAATGTTTGGTAGTTTTTCAGTATTCAAGATTTGAGCTTCTTTTGTTTAAATATATCCCCAAATACTGACTCTTTTTTAAGGCAATCATGAATGGAATTGTATTTTTATTTAACATTAAACCTTTTCAGCTTTGGAGGACTTTATCATTTGGGGAATGTTGTTCTCATTGTCTATAGAAGTTGGAAGTTATAGAATTCCAACCCAAGTTTGTACTCTCATTTCAAGAACACTGAGGGTGAAATTCGAATACTCTACAATTACCTTCTCAAGTGAATTAGGTGGTATTGATCACTGGCCACAGATTATTTATTTATTCATTCATTTTTCCACAAAACCAACCATTCAGCTCACCATCCTTTTTGTTGACAGTTTCCATGGGGTTTTAGCCCATCTGGTAGGCGGCTTTGCTTTTTCGTGGCTCGATGTTTGCTGGGACCACAAGGGTACCCAGGCCATGTTTCTTTCATGGTGACAGGCTAGTCCAGATTTGTTCTTGGGGTGAGTGGCAGGGATATGAGAGAGAACAGATGGGCACTGGACCCTATGTGGCCAGACCCCATCTCTTGATGTCAGGTGCTTCAGAACCACATGTAAAGGGATGTGGATATAGGAAGGGTAATAACTGTGGCCATTTTTGCAGTTATTACAGTAGCATGTGTCTCTGCAACTCAGTCTGGCCAATTAGAATTGGAGTCAGTTTTTTGCTTGGGAAATTACCCACCTTCTGAAACTTGGTGGGGATGAATACCTCTTTTTCCAATAGGAGCTGAATATGCTACATACTTCTTTTCCTGGACTCTAGTGCATCTAGGGCACAGGCACCTGTGCAGTTTGGAAGTGAGAAAGATGATGTAGTAGGTTCCGTGTAGCACCGATTTTCTGGTTAGGGTGACAACAGAGGCAACGGGCTGTGACGCTAAGCTCCCATTGCAGAAACAGCAACTGTGCTGGTATTAGTGCTGGTTGCAGTGAAGTTCAGTTCAGGGTGGAAAAGTGGGAAGGGTGCCAACTGTCACCTCTCCTGCTCTGCTATAGCAAGGTCATTGATATTGTAGGGGAAACAAGACTTAGTCTATTCTTTAGTAAATGTACTTTGCCTTAATAGGACATGATGACCCCTTGTTAGAGTTACCAAAACAAGTCCATGCCCTAGAGATGTATTGGGTGGATCTCCCAGCCCGTACTCCCTGGGGTTCATGGAGAACTTTGATGTCGCCCAGATGCTCCTCATTGGCTTCAAGTGTCTCTGTGAACTGTGCGCGGTGAGGGCAGCATCTGAGGGTCTTGGGTGCATGAATGGTCCATTCACATGGGTTTGCTTTTCATTTCAGGGCAATAGTCTGGTGGCTGTCCTCCCGGTGATCAATCACATGTGGGCTGATCACCCAGCTGGAGAACTGGTAGTTTGGGAGGATCTGCTGTCTTGTCAGGTTGTTTAGTTAGTGATGTGAGCCCTTCTTCCAGGTGGTACCAATGACCTGGCTTTGCGGGTGTTCTGCAGGGTCTTGGCGGCTTGGTGCAAGTCTGGGGCCAGTGCATGTCACTTCCTTTCCCTGCAGGCAGCCTGTGTGGTGATGGCACAGGTGCGTGCTACCTGCTGCCTGTCTTCGACACCGTGTTTGTCAGGAGGATGTACCGTCGCCAAGGCCTGGGCATGGCCATGCTGCAGGACTTCTGTGAGACATTCCAAGAGGATGAGGCCCTGGGCGTCAGTTGGCCAATTTCTCCTGCCATGTACCAAGGTAAACCCACCTTGTATCAGGAGGAAGAGTTGGGGTAATGGTGATGGATAACACATGTGTGTTCTAGGTGACTGTGGGTAGGGAGGTTCCTTGGCACTCTCGGCGTGTGGGTCTTCTCTTCCTCCTGAGAAATCTCCCATTGCTTCCGCACAGATGAGGCTTTATGCTGTATCACAGGCGGCGAGCCCTTCCCAGCCTGAGAAATAATTGGATTTAGAGATAATAAAAAAGAAGTCACATGACCTCAGAGAGAAGCAGAATCCAGAGAAGTGCGTCTGTGCTGCCGATTGCTGCTGGGTGCTCAGAGGGCCTTTGCTCCTTCACTTGAAGCTTAGAGCCCATGACTTTGTCCTTTCCACTAGAAGCTGCAGGGGATCCCTAGGAGCTTCAGCTGGGAGGGCAGCTGGAGTGCAAAGGCAAGCTCTGACGGCACTGAGCCCCCAAGCACCTCTGTAGCTCCTATTGCAGAAGACAGTCCTCTCTTCCATTCTTGACCCACTGAGTCCCTGTATTGGTCAGGGTTCTCCAGAGAACAGAACCAATAGGATGTAGATATATAGAGAGAAGAGATTTAATATGAGGAACTGACTCACACGGTGTGGAGACTGAGCCTCGCAGGATCTGCCGTTGTTAGCAAGCTGGAGACTCAGGAGAGCCGATGGTGTCCTAACAGTCCAAATGCCCACAGGCGCCAGACCCAAGAAGCCAACAAAAAGTTTTTGGTTCAAATCCAAAGGCAGTAAAAGATCGATGTCCCAGCTCAACAGGCAGGAGGAGTTCCCTCTTACTTGTGGGAGGGTCAGCTTTTTTGTTCCATAATCAGGCCTTCAACTGATTGGATGAGGCCCACCCACATGCAGGAAGGCAATGTGGTTTACGCAGTCTGCTGATTCAAATGCTGATCTCATCCAAAACACCTTCACAGACACAGCCAGAATAATGTTAGATCAAATATCTGGGTACCCTTGGTTCAGTCAAGTTGGCACTTAAAGTGAACTATCACAGTCCCTTTCCATATTCTGGAAGAGGAATCTTTATATATATTTGTCAGAGGAAATGAAAAAAGCTCTGATATTAAACATCACATTCCAAGTCAGCAAGGAGGGCAGATTCTGGTGGGTATTGCCCCAGGGTCCCTTTGCGGCCCCCCCCCCCCCCCGAAGCCCCCCCCCCCCCCCCCGGGTTCTGTTTTACTTCTCTTGTGATACATTTGTTTCCCGACCTATTGAGTTTCCTGTCCCATTATCATATGGGGAGAACAGATAAGAGAGAGAAGGTAGGAAAGT